CAGGAGAAGCGGGAGGAACTCCAGGCCCTTGAGGACCTTCGAGCCCGGGGTGCCTTTGTTCGGTCTTGCATTCTCTATGCCCTGGAGAAAAAGAGGGGGGCTAAAAAGCACATCGTCTGCATTCTGGCAGAGGATGATGCCCACCTCATGGATCCGGTGGAGATGTGCGAGAGGGCTCGTGCCTGCTACGCCTCTCTCTTCTCCCCGGATGCGCCCTATGCTGACGCCTGCAGGGTTCTCTGGAACAAACTCCCGACAGTCAGCGCGGGTGACCGGGACCAGCTAGAGCTGCCTCTCCCTGGCCGAGTTCTCGGACGTCCTCCATCTCATGCCCACCAATAAATCCCCGGGCATGGACAGGTGGACTGTGGTGTTCTACCGTGTGTTCTGGGACGTCCTCAGCCTGGACCTTGCTAGCGTCTGGGCCAAGTCCTTGGAGAGCGGAGTTCTCCCTTTATTGTGCAGGCGAGCTGTGCTCGCCTTGCTGCCCAAGAAGAGGGATCTCTGCGATCTGAGGAATTGGCGTCCCATCTCGCTCCTCAGCACAGACTATAAAATCGTTGCCAAAGCCATTTCCCTAAGGCTGAAGTCCGTGCTGGTGGATGTGGTTCATCCAGACCAGACCTACACTCCTGGCCGAGTTCTCGGACGTCCTCCATCTCATGCCCACCAATAAATCCCCGGGCATGGACAGGTGGACTGTGGTGTTCTACCGTGTGTTCTGGGACGTCCTCAGCCTGGACCTTGCTAGCGTCTGGGCCAAGTCCTTGGAGAGCGGAGTTCTCCCTTTATTGTGCAGGCGAGCTGTGCTCGCCTTGCTGCCCAAGAAGAGGGATCTCTGCGATCTGAGGAATTGGCGTCCCATCTCGCTCCTCAGCACAGACTATAAAATCGTTGCCAAAGCCATTTCCCTAAGGCTGAAGTCCGTGCTGGTGGATGTGGTTCATCCAGACCAGACCTACACTGTCCCGGGCCAAACCATCTTCGACAACCTCATCTGTGGCTCTGCTTCCTTGGGAGAAGGGCCAGTCAGCCAAAAGTCAGGCAGAGTTGGACCTTGCAAAGGGAATTAAAACCAATAGTAAAAGGTTTTATAGCCATATAAATAGGAAAAAAAACAAAAAAAGAAGTAAGACCACTAATTACTAAGGATGGTCCCTCCTGGCACAGTGACCGGAGATTGCCGTACCTGCATGAGCACTGCTCCGACGGTGGATCTCCCCATGCCAAACTGGTTTGCCATGGATTGGTAGCTGTCCGGCGTGGAAAGCTTCCATAGGGCAATGGCCACCTGCTTGTGGAGGAGAATTGCGGGTCTCGTGTGCATGTCCTGTCGCTGCAGGGCAGGGGCGAGCCACTCGCAGAGCTCCAGGAAGGTGTCCTCCTTCATCCTGAAGTTCTGGGTCCATTGTTGGTCTCCCCAGCGCTCCAGGACGATGCGGTCCCACCAGTCGCTGCTGATGTCCAGACGCCAGATGCAGCGGGGCACGCTGGTATCTGGGCACTGCTGCTGCTCCTCCACGGGTCCGGAAGAGGGCCTAGGGGTTGGGGTGCAGCAGATGCTGCCAGGTAGTCTCCAGCAATTGCTGCCAGGCTTGCAGCAAGACATCCAAAATTAGCACCAGAGTGCCCAGGGGCAGCTCCGGCTCCATGGTGCCGAGTGCTGTGGTGTCCTGAGTCAGGGGAACCAAAGCAAGCAGAGAAAAAAATTCTTTGCTGTCCCTCAGTAAGGTAGGCAAACAAGCAGGGAAAGCTGAGAACCAGCTGTCCAGGGGGGTCCCTTTGAGCACAAGCCTCAGATAGCCTCAGGCCGCAGCCACACAAAGCAACTACTGACCTGATGCCCTGTTGGAACCGGTTTCAGCTGCCCTTAAATGCGATTCAGTGTCCAATCAGTGTGGACGTGCTTTCAGCATCCAATCAGTGTGGATGCGCTATTTTGAAATAACAAAACGCTATTTCAAAATGCTTTTTGTGCGTAAATGTGTTATTTCAAAATATCTTATTTCAAATTAACTATTTTGAACTAAGATATTTCAAAATTTCGCTGTAGTGTAGACATACCCTTACAGAAAAAAACAATAAATGGTCTGGTAGCACTTTATAGACTAACAAAACATGTAGATGGGATCATGAGCTTTCGTGGGCACAGACCACTTCTTCAGATGACCGGAGTTGTAAATAGGGGATATGAAAACTCGAAATAAATAGGAGAGAGGAAAGAGAGGAGGGAGAAAAAGAAAAAAAGAAAAAAGGGAGGGGGGTGTGAGACAGCATCATTAAGTATCTGGCGAGTGAGTACTTAAACCTAAGTAGATGGAAGTAAATAGCTAGATGCTAAGACAGGAAGGACACCACTCAGGGAGCTGTTAGCACCTTCAGTGGTTATGAAGCAGGTCGTGTCCTAGCCAGCCCATATCAGGGCTGAGTTCATTAGTATGTGAATTGAATTTGTGGATGACCTGAGATTCTAATCCTTCCCTATGTATTTGGCTTGTGGAGCTGGCCTGTGACAAGATAGCTACCTGTAGGTCTGCTAAAGTATGTTTAGGTAAGCAGAAGTGTTCACCAACTGGCTTTTGTGTGTTTCCTTTACGTATATCTGATTTGTGTCCATTGGTTCTTTCCCGCAGAGACCGTCCAGTTTGTCCAATATCTATGGCAGTGGGGCACTGCCGGCGTTTGATGGCATAGATCAAATTACTAGATGTGCAGTCAAATGACCCTTTGATTTTGTGGCTTATGTTGTTTGTTCCAGTGATGAATTTGTCAGTGTAGATATGTGGGCAAAGTTGGCATCTTTTTGGTTGCAGGCCCGGGTTCCTGGAGGGTTATGATGTGGTTGTGTGGCATGGTTATCAGAAATAACACATTTCAGGTTGGGGGGTTGTCTGTAAGCAACAAAAGGTTTTTCTCCCAAGGCCTATGAGAGCGAGGGATCATTTTCCAAGAAGGGTTGTAGATTGTGCATAGTGCGTTGGAGGGGTCTGACTTGTGGCCTGGAGGTAACGACAAGAGGAGTTCTGTTTTCTCTTTTGGATCTGTCTTGAAGTAGTTCATGTCTGGGGTGGGGTGTTTTTTTTTTGGCTCTGTCCATTTGTTTCTTCACTTCCCCAGGTGGGTATCTCAGTTTTAGGGATGCTCTGTAAAGATCCTGTAGGTGATTGTCTCTGTCTGTGGGGTCGGAGCAAATTTTTCTTTTTCTCCTGCCTCTCCTTCCCCTCTCCTATTTATTTCGAGTCTTCATAGCCCCTATTCATCACTCCGGTCATCTGAAGAGGTGGGCTGTGCCCACGAAAGCTCATGATCTCATCTCCATCTCCATGTTTTGTGAGTCTATAAAGTGCTACCAGACCCCACAGACAGAGAGAGAGGGAACTTCTAGAAGTGAAATGAATGCATACAATTCATCTCCTTGGTGTAACTCGGAAACTTCTGCAGGGCCATGCAGGTGACATCAGCCCCCTGAGAGCCTGGGGATGGGTGGGGTTGAGAAGCAGGGGATTGTGTGGCCAATGAGCACTCGTGTGCATTTGCAGTGTTAGCACTCATCACCCAACAGTTAATGGGCCCACCCCAAGTTAGTGTCAAAGAGGGAGGAAACTCAGAGCTAGAACAAGAGTTTGCAGGATGGCCTTCGGGACCATCGTTAGGGTCTATGGGGCCCTAGGCAGTAGTATTAAACTGGTGGCCCCGTGGTCCATGGCAGCCCGGGACTAACAGGGGAGGGGATGTTTTTAGAGATGTGATTTTTCAATCTTCAGCGCCATGCTAATGAAGCACTTTAAACCAAACTGAGACCCTGTAGACTACACAGCACATTTTTGCCAGCATATCCCTGGGGTTGGCAAATGCCTGAGAACGTTTCGTTCCCCCGGGACCGGCGCAGCGTGGATGTTCTGCTCAGAGCTCTGGCATGCTCTGTCACTTTCGGCTGACTGGCCCGTCTCCCAACGAAGCAGAGCCACAGATCAGGGTAGGAAAAGCAGGGCCAGACTGAGCCGTTCCGGCGCCCCGGGAAGACAGTTTAAGTGCCCCCCGGGTTGGAGGAGGGCACATGCGCAGGCCCGTCCCCACCCGGCACGTGGGGCAGGGTGCATGGAGCTGGCGGCGGCAGGACACATGTGCCCGGCCTGGCCCGGCCAGGCTATTAGCTGGCACGCAACCCGGGGCAGACCGAGCCTGGCCATGCAGGCCCCTGTGGCTGCAGGGGGGGGGAAGGGCACTGCTGGCCGGCACTGCGGGGGTTAATGCGGCCCCTGCCCCGGGCGGCTGCTCCAGCATGGCTGCTGGGAGCTGCTGTAGCCCGCGATCCAGGAGCCGGGCACATGGCCCCTTACAGCTGCCATCCGGCACCCCCCATAGGTTGGCATCCTGGGCAGCTGCCCAGCTAACCCCCCCGAATCCGGCCCTGAGGAACAGGTTGGTAGGTGGACATGAGGGCGAGGGGTGCCCCGGACTTATGGCTAGGTCGGCTCTGCTGGCCTTTCCCCGTCAGCTCCTAGCAGGTGGTCCAGTGAGTCAGAACGGGAAGGCGCTAGAGGGCTGGAGATCTGGGTTCTGTGCTAAGGGCCGGGAGGGAAGGAGGCTGGGAGTCAGGACGCCTGTTGGTAGAGCCCTGCACAGATACAAAACCTGTATCCGCATCTGTCTCTGCAAACGTGAGCTGTGGTCTGTGCGGACCTGCACGCATACGGATACCCCAGAGATATGGTCTAGGTACAAAACCCGGATGTGTGCAAAGGAGCCGTGGATATCTGCATTCACATCCGCGGCTCTACTCATTGGAGAATGCGGTGGGAAGTCGAGACTTCTGGCCTTTGTTTCTCTCCCTATACGGTACCTTACGCCTTCTCTGGTGTTGCACAGTGAGTCACTTGGCTCACCAGGCTTCAGTTTCCTTCCAATATCTGTAGCCAGGGAAGGCAGGGTGGGGTGCAGTAACAGTCAGACTGTGATCCCTGTGCACTCCCAGACCCATGTGTACAGCAGAGCATGGAGCCGGGCAAGGGGATTTGCTTTATTGACTCTGTAAGCAGAAAGGTGCCAGCGTGTGACCAAGTATGAACCCGCAGGCCCCGCTGGCTCTCTGTGCTGGTGGCTCACTGGAGGCATGGCCATGAGACTTGTCACTGCTCCCCCTGCCACCAGTGGTAAAACTGGTCCTTCAGGATGTCTGTGTAGGTCCCCGCAGCCGACGTGGTTTTGTCATAGATGTCCCTGGGAAGGAAAACAGAGGGAATGAGCCACTCCCATGTGAGCGAGCTGGTCCCTGCGGGATTGTCTGCACTGTTCACATCATTATCCAATAGTCTGTGGTTCGCCTGCAGCCAGCACCAAACCACTGACCCATGGCCGTTCTAGGGCCCTTCGTGCCATCGGGCAGCACAGAGGAGCTTCAGCCACTCCCCAGTGCCCTCTGCTCAGGGGGCCGACGCCGTGCTGGCCTGTGGCCTCCATCTCCGCTTTCCAGAGCGTGAGAACATGAGACCCGCCACAGAGCTCCACCTAGCCCAGTGTCCTGTCTGCTGACCGTGGCCAATGCCAGGTGCCCCAGAGCCAATCACCAAGGGATCCAGCTTCTGACACACACAGGCCAGGGACACCCTCCCTGCCCAGCCTGGCTAACGGCCATTGATGGGCCTAAACAAACTTAAAAACACCAACTAGCCAAGCAGCACACTGAAGACTAACAAAACACGTGGATGGTATCACGAGCCTTTGTGGGGTCAACTCACTTCTTCAGATGATGAAGTGGATTGTACCCACAAAAGCTCATGATACCAGCTACGTGTTTTGTTCGTCTTTAAGGTGCTGCTAGACTATTCATTGTTTTTTAAGTTTTTCCAGTTACAGACTAACTCAGCTACCCCTCTGAAGTTAATAGACTTGTCCTCCATGAGTTTGTCTAGCTCTTTTTGAAACCCTTATATAGTCTTGACCTTTACAACATCCTCTGGCAAGGAGTTCCACAGGTTGACTGTGCACTGTGTGAAGAAAAACTTCCTTTGGTTTGTTTTATACCTATTTCATTTGGTGACCCCTAGTTCTTGTGTAATGAGGAGTAAACAACACTTCCTTACTAAAGTGCCACCCAATTCCTTGTTATTCTTCCTTATTTATTTTCCTCACACCCATCATGATTTTATAGACCTCAGTCATATCCTTCCTAGTTGTCTCTTGTCCCAGTCTTCTTAATCTCTCCCCATACAGAAGCCATTTTATACCCCCTAATAATTTTTGTTGCCGTTTCCTGAACCTTTTCCAATTTTAATACAGGTTGGACCTTCCTGGTCCAGCATCTTTGGGATCTGACCTGTTCCAAAAGAGGGAAATTGCCAGATCAGGGGAAGTCCCCAGTGGGTGTAACACAGATTTATAGAGGGGCAACGTGATGTTTCTGTCTTAATATCCATCTCTTTCTCAATGATCCCTAGCATGGCTGTTTGCTTTTTCTGACGGCTGCTGCACACTGAGTGGATGTTTTCAGAGAACTGTCCACAGTGACTCCAAGAGCTCTCTCCTAAGTGGTAACATCTAAATTAGTCCCCAGTATTTCATACGTCTAGTTGGGATTATGTTTTCCAGTGGGCATTACTTTCCATGTATCAACATTACAATTCATCAGCCTTTTTGTTGCCCAATCACTTAGTTTGGCGAGATCCTTTGGAAGCTCTTCAGTCTGCTTGGGATTTAACTGTCTGGAGGACAGTAACCCGCCTGGCACTCCCACCTCCCAGGCCACTCACTCCTCGGGGTATCTCAGCTCTAGGTAACGCCGCCAGGAAGCACCGGCAGCTTCCACTGGCTACCCCTTACCAGGATCTGACCCTGTCCAGCCAGCCCTGCACCACTGAATTCAGCTGCTCCCAGTAATTCTTGGCAACTTCCTGGATCTGAGAGAATGAGTCCTGAGCCTCACGCTTCTGCAGTCGGTAACTGGCAGCCTCTGCGGAGACAGAAAACGGTGCTGAGGTCTCTCTGGCGGAGGAGGGGCCACACCCAGGGGACAGCTGCTGATACACTGGGATTGGGAGGGCAGAGACAAACTGGCAATGCTGAATCCTCATGATGTTCTGGTCTATAAAGCCCCATCCTTGCCCCACAGGCCTCTGTGCTGCACAAGATGCAAAACCACAGGGGCCAGCAGGGGGGTTGTGCTTCATGCAGAACGGAAATTGGCCTGTTTCCAGCTGGACAGGTGAATGCTTCCTCTCCCCACTTCCCCCAGGGGGTAAGTGACATGCTAAGCACAAGCCAGGAGAGGCAATTATTGCTGAAATGCACCATGGAATCTAACTCGGTGTTTATCAAAGGGTGGGTGGCGAGCCCCAGAAGGGTCTTGAAAAGCAATTAAACAAATCATATTACAATTCTAACGTGTGTTGTAGTGCGGTACAATCGTATAACAATTCTAACGTGTGTTGTAGTGCGGTACAATCGTATAACAAGTCTAACGTGTGTTGTAGTGCGGTACAATCGTATTACAAGTCTAACGTGTTGTAGTGCGGTACAACTGCCTTACAAGTCTAACGTGTTGTAGTACAGTACAATCGTATTACAAGTCTAACGTGTTGTAGTGTGGGACACTCGTATTACAGTTCTAAATTATACTGTAGTACTATACAGTAATATCACTATACTAAAGCCAAACATTAATTTTAAAAAAGCATTTCCCGAGTAACTTCCTGGTGACCAAAATCTTTGCCAAGTGAAGGTCAAATGTAGCCGTTGTATTCGACAAGCTTAACCCTGTTATCTTTTTTAACTCCAGTTGCCAGAGACCAAAAATTCTCCATTTTGGGCCAAAGCCCAAGAGATGTACTTGAAACGGGACTTTTCTTTGAAAATGTCTGTTTTGGGGACAAAAGCATGTTGGGGATTTTTTGGAAGAAATCGGCGTGAAGGAGTCTAGGGCTGAGCGGCCCCCAACTCCAGGGAAAGTGGTGGTGGCGAGGCGGGGATGCCAGCACCTCAAACACTGAAAATCAGGCCCCACAATCAGTAGCCCTTTTGGCAAATATTAGGTTGGGGCCTCTGGACTGTGCTGGGCCTGGGGAAAAGGGGAGGGGGAAGAATCACATGCTCTGGAATAGGGGAACCAGAGGAGACATCGTCAGGAGTTTAATCCGCGTCTCCGGTTTCAGGGACTTTCCCCTCGCCGGCAGCTCTTACCAGCACAGGACAGCAGCAACAGGACAAAGACCACTGCCATTCTCAGCTCCATTCGCCTCATGCTTGCTGGAAAATGAAGCCCTGAGATTAATTCAGCTTTCTCCCTCTGCACTGGGTTTGCATGCAGCCGATCAGGCTGCGCTGAGCCTTCCTCTCGCCTGCACGTCTTGCACTGGGGCCCTGCTCACACGAGGGATGTTCAAATGCATTTTTCTAAGTGTGTAACCACTGAAATTTTCACCAGTTACACGTTTACATGCTGGACAGGGGCGGGGGGAGGGCAGGCGGAAGCTGAAGCTCACAGGGAGCTGACTTACATGGTTCCCACCTCCCCTCCCCACCTCCCTGCTGCTGCCTCTGTATCAGCACCCACAGGCACAGTGGGGGGGCGTGCAGCTCCGTGGGGCTGGCACACACAGGGAGCCAGCATGAAAGCCTGCAGCCCGTGCATACAGCCTCCTCCCCACAGTGGGATGCAGCGGTGGGGGAGAGGGCAGTGGTTCTGTGGGAGCTGGCATGCGCTGAGAGGAGGGGGGCGGGGAAGGGTTAATCAGTGAGCCTGTG